CTGGCCGATGTTTCCTTTTTTTTTTCTCCAGTAATCTCATGCTTTGCTTTTTTAATTTCTTTTTTAAAAATTATATTCTCCTTTTTTTTAATATTTTCATGCATGCATACATTTTATTGTAGATGTATCATTAATTTCACTTTATATATATATTTGCATACACAGTACATTTCTAGCTTATGTACACTATTTCCTTCTGTAATATTACTAAATGTTGTATGGTCCCAATTAAGCCAAGTTTAAATTCTACCTCCATCTATCTCAATATTCTTCTAAACAACCATAACTATGAAGCTTAGTGACTTCATGTCCATTACTCGTCCAGCATTTGCAAACACTGAAAAACACACAAGTCACCCACAACTTTAAAGGTTTTATGCTTCTGTTCTTCATGACATTGTTCTTTATGATAACATAACCCCTGGATGTGGCATGTTTCTCATGGTATATCACCTTGACTGAGCCTAAAAGGATTGAAGAAAATGTTCTGCAAAGTGAAGGTAGCCAATGTGATAATTACCACATCACCAGTCCAGTGTTGATTAAAAAAAGTAAAGATCCCTTTTCACGCCTTTCGGCGCATCGGGCATATGGGCAGAGCGTCCCATATTTTTACAGACCATCAGCACTCTGTGGGTAATGTGGTCAGCATTACGCCGGCTGTCTTTACTTTCCCAGGACAGCCCATGCTGGTACCCATTTTTGGCTGGGTCGACCTGTGATTAGTGTACACAAAAATGGTACTAACATCACTGACCAGTATACCTCAATAAATGGAAAATGTTTATTTTTTTTCACCTACCCGTGTGTGTGTGTACATAGACAAATTATGTTACAGTATGCAATTTACATGCAGTTAAAAACTTTACAGAAGCTCAGAAGCTGGCACCTCAGAACACCAAATTTATACATATGTTCTAACTCATACTTAGACATTCTAACAAAAATGGCAACTTACTATCAATTTTGTGATGCAGTCACATATGACAAACCAGCAATTTAAACCTCATAAAATGGTTTTATCAGCCCCCTCGAAAAATCAGCTAAAATTACAAGATCTCTGGTCTAGAACCAAGTAAATAATAAGTCTTATGTAAAAATTACCACCAAAAAAAAAAACTTTTAAAGTACTATGACAGCTAGTAATATTTTCACTGTAATAATACTCTTGTTTTTTGGTGTACACTCCAAATCTGAAATTAGAGAGAGATATTGGTAACTGTATAAATTTCAATTTCATCATTTTCATTTAAACATCAACCCTTGTTCACAGTCACTACCGTTGTGTAGAACACAAATGAGACAATTTTATTGACTAGGTAAGCAAAATAAATATCTATGTGATTACACTTCTACATCAACCAGTGAAGCTAATCACTTTAAACCACTTGGTGCAAAGAAACTACATCTTTATAACCATTTTCTTTAAATCCACCCTGACACAGCTGATCCTCTGTGCCATGTCCAACTGTCCAGCATCTTTTCTCTCGGTCTGCCTCAGCCTCTCCTCCCCTCCAACTTTTCTACTGTCATGATGTACTCGTCTTCTCCTCCTTATCACATGATCAAAAAACATAGACTGTCTCTTTCCGATGCGGGCAATCTTCGTAAGTCAGTTTCTTTCAAGATATCTTCATTATTCATTTTTTCTATCCAGGGTATTCTCATCATTTGCCTATAAAACCACATCACAGCTTTCAAATAATTTTTTTACCAATCTACCTGTCCATGATTCGCTTCCATATATGAAGATAGGATTTACACTGCTTTCAAGAATTCTCTTTCTCGTCTCAACTGACAAAGAAAGGTTGATTAAAATATTTTTTTTTTTGGTAATATGCCGCCTTTGCTTGAGCAATTTACATTCACTTCCTTTATATATCTTCCATTTGATGTTATCACAGTACCCAAGTACTTAGACATAACTTGCTTGAGGTTTGTCCCATTTACTTTGATGTTGCATTTTGGAGGGTGAGTTTTCTTTGTAATCACAACTGTTATTACAGTGTTTTTGCTGTTCAAACTAAGACCCTGTTTTCACTTTCAGTTACAATTATATTCACCATTTTTTGCAGTTGTGTGTCATTTTCAGCAATCAAAACTATATCACCAGCATATTGAAGTCTGTTAAAATTAACCCCCCCCCCCCCCTCACAGATATTCCTGGCAGGCATACCATGTGTGGATCTAATTATTTCACTGCACAAATTGAAAAAAATCGGGTGATAGTACACATCCCTAGCTACCAGGGACAATAAATAAGGCACTAGAACAGAAAATAACTACCCGTGAAATGTGTTGTCTCCGTAAAGTCACTAACAAAACAAGAAGGGTCAGGATTACAAATACCAGCTTTCAAGAGAAAAATAGAATAAGGCCATGTCTGAATTACACTGACAGACAAAGAATGAAATGGTTCAGCCATCTGGTGAGAATGCAGCCAGACAAAACCGCATTTGAGACTTTTTACAGCAGAACATCAGAGAGGAAGGTGAGGGGAAGATCAAGAAAAAAGATGGATAACTGTGTAGCTGAAACCTGTAAAATGATGAACAAACCCATCACACAAGCTTGCTGAGAAGTGCCAGACAAATACAGGAAACCATGACACTGTGCTATGACCTGGTATCAGTGAGACGACAGAACCATGAAACTGGGCTACAACGTGGTATCAGTGAGATGACACAACCATGACACTGGGCTACAACCTGGGATCAGTGAGACAACAAAACCATAACACTGGGCTACAGCCTGTTATCAGTAAGATGACAGAACCATTTGATCTGATTTGATTTAATTCAAGAACCGACATCACAGCACTCGGGGCATTCCCACAAGCACTCCATCCCCATCTTCAGCAGCCAGCGAAGAGTTATGATACTAATGGTGCCAGCAGCATTCTGATTAAACGTACGTCTTGCCTTTCCTTTGAGCTTCAAGCATCTCGTCACTCCACCCTGCAATCTCACCAGGCTGTGGTGATCCAAACCATCTGCTCCTCCGAACTGTACATGCTCTCCTACAAGGCCCTAACCATGTCTGCCTTATAATGTATCAGCATTCCACCAAGTTGTGCAGAGCCAGCAAGTCTGTCCGCCTGTTCATTTCCCAACACATAGGCATTTCCTAGTGAAAAAATCCAGACAATACTCCCCACCCGTGTCCCCTGCAGCGAAGCATGCCACTCTGCACGAAGCATGTCTGTCCTGATCTTCCTCAGCATGCTTTCTGAGTCAGTTACAATATATAAACACTACTGGACAAGAGAGACATGGACAAGCTCTGGTGGTGAAGGATGGGGTACTTGACTTGAGCCAGTGGAACCACAGTGGACGAGAGGTTCAAGGGATACAGGTGGAAATGGGTGGCTTAAGTTGGAACCTCATAAATATATATGCCCCGGTAGACTGCTTTGTCAGAAGTGAACAATGGGACTGGCTCAAGGAATTGGAAGAGTTACCAGGTAATAGGTAACTCATATGTGGGGATTTCAACACGATGAACATAGAATGGGACAGCAGCGGAGAAAACCGACAGGGAATTGCTCTTGCAGAGGCCATGGTTGACTACAATATGGTCTGCATCAATGACTAGAATGGCAATGAGGTCTGGAGATGCAGACACAGCCATTGACTTGACATTTGTCTCCCAGTCGTCAGTTTTAGATGTTAAATGGACTGTCCTAAATGACCATGGGAGTGATCACCTACCATGTTCAGACCTGATTACTAAACCCAGTAAGGTTAAGGCTGGGAGTGCATGCAAGACCTTCCGGTATAAGTGGACCAACAACCTACATAGACGCCTTAGACAGGGAGCATGCAACACAACTAATTTTCTACAACCCCCATGGTGGACTCCAGAAGCAGAACAGGCGTGGAAGGCAAAGAGAGCCGCAGTGAAGCAGCTAAAGAAAGTACGATGGACACCCTCAAGTTCACGAGTGGAAGTGAAGATGGTGGAGAATGTGAAAAAAGATAAAGTGGAGGCTTTCAAGCGCTGCAGAGGCCAAAAAAGAAAAGTGGGAAACTTTTGTGAATGAAATGAGACGCGATAAAACATTGGGGAAATTCTGGAAACTGCAAAGGCAGATGCAAAGAAAAGATCAGCCAATGACAGTTGGAACCATTTGTAGAGACGATGGTGTGCGTATGACAACAGACAAGGAGAAAGGGGAGGCTTTTCTCCATAGGTTTATAGCTCAGACAGATCATAAGGATATAGGCATCACGGATGCAGTTAGAAAGGAGCTAGCTGCCACCTTAAAGAATATTCATTATGAAAACATGATACAAGTAGAAGATATTAAATAAGTTTTTAAAAAAGCAAAGGACACTGCATCAGTGCCTGATAGGGTCAGGTATGGCCACATGAATGTGTTGAGCGATGTAGACCTGGCAGAGATGGCCGACTGTTTTAACCAGAGCATTAAGACAGTATCAGTACCGCAGGACTGGGTGCATAGCTACATCCCACTACCAAAACCTTTTAAGGATCATTCAAAGCTCAGTGGCTTTAGACGGAACCATGAAACTGGGCTACAATCTGATATCCGTGAGACGACAAAACTATGACCCTGGGCTACAACCTGGGATCAGTAAGATGACAAGAGAAAAAGAAGAAAATAAGAACAAGATATGTTGTGACAAGCAGAAAGCTGGGCGGTGAGACAGGTAAAGGAAAAACAAAAGGGAGGTTGCTAGTTTGTTATCACATGGAAGAACAGCTGGATCATAAATTATTGACAATACATAGGACAGAAGGTGTGAACAGTCATGCTTCACTGTGTGGACTAGAAAAAAGAAGAGTAAACCAGATTTTATGCCAACTTCATCACTTAATTATTTTTTAGTATAATAATAAATTTTTTTTATGGAATTTAATTTCAAACATGGTTTCTTTCTTCTCTTAAATGAGAGAGACAGCAATAAATTAACTAGTAAATGTACAGTGTAAGTCAAAACAAACCCATCAAAGTAAAGCTATTTTTTTTTAATTACCTAATTCCATTCCAGCTGGATCATCCGTATGAGACCTGATGGAAGCTCTGGACCAATCAGAGGATTTAGCTGTGAGATAAATGTTGTAATCCAGCTGAAAAAAAAAAAAAAGAGCAGTGTCATGGATGTATGTTTACAAACACACTGAATGTTGAATTAAGAATCGACATCAGAGCAATTGGAACACCCCCAAATAAGTGCTCCATCGTCAGCAGCAAGCGAAGAGTTCCAAACCGATGGCACCAGTTACTGACTGTATGTCCGTCTCGCCCTTTCTCTGAGTGTTGAGTCAGCCAGATCCCCTGGTAACTCCTCGCAACCCCATTCTCCTCAGTCTGCAATGATCTATCTGTGCCTCCATACTGTTCACTCGCTCCCAAAGGGCTCTCACAAAATCTAGCTTGTCATACATCAATTCACCACCAAGTGGTGCAAGCCAGCCAGTCTGCCTGCTCATTTGCCAACATACTGGCATGACAAACTGTAAACAAAGCACCATAATTTAGCAGGTTCTTGTAGAGAATTACTCCACACAACCTGCCAGAAAGGTTAAATATTTCACAAGCCATCTTGCCATACAGTTCCTCTTTAGCGCCTGCAATGTTTTATATGGCCAAAGTAATTGTTTATGAGACATAATGCAGTTTATTTGATCTCAACCATGTGGCTCAAAAAAAAAAAGGGAAAACCAATGAAAAATCAACCATTTTGCACAGATAAACAATAATTTGTTTTAAATTATTTATTTACTTACATTTTCACATATATTTTCACAGAGTCCACGAAGCAGGGTAATAATTAAACACAACGGAATAGAGAAATAAATGGATACACTCTCCTGAACTCATACCATGGCCCCTGTTAGTATGCTACCACTAAGACTAAGTGACAATTATAACAACCATCAACAGCTTTAAAAAAAATTTTTTTTTTTTAATAAGCTTCCCCTAATGTTATTTCTTTAGTAAATATAATAATATCTGGGCATCATAAACACCTCTGCAGGTGCAAACAGAGCCAAAACTGTCACTAGCCTTCTCAGGGACAAGCCAATGCAACAATGCCATTTTTTCTGCATTTACAGGCATGTGGAACAGACAGGGATGCCGGATAAGCAGCTTTACAGAGCCAAAGCATTAAGATGTTAAATGAAATTTTCCTTCTTCATAATCCTCAATATTCTGATTGTTGTTTTCTCCAAGTACAGAAGAACGGATTTCTGCTTTTAGTGCTTGTGAACTGTTCTTAGTTCATTTATTTGCTGACAAATACAAATTTTTTTTAAGCTATGGCTAGTTGCTTGATTTCTGTTTAGTAGTCTCAACTTTTGTTTGCGTATTCAACTTAGTGATATTTTCCTTTTTTGATTTTTAGGCGCTGTTAACGGTTAATAAACAGTCTTCGGTACCACTCATGAAAGTCACCACTTCTTGTCATCTGTGAGATTTTATAGGGATTCCCACAGGCTATCCTATATTCTAGGGGTGTTATCAGATACCTTCTTTTGCAGTCTAAATACAGCATGCAGAAAAGTGACTCTGGTTCGTTGGACATACTGCCTCCCAGATGAAAGTGTGCAGCTTTAGAGAAAGAAACAGCGAGAAGGTGTGACAGTTTGTGAATACTGAAATGGAGGTTTTTCTATTTTTTACACTAGATGGCGGTGGCTGTCATCAGTTGTGGATGTGCTTATAATGTTCAAAACAAAGAATATGTGACACCCCCTAAACTATAGGAGTGTCCTGGGAAATCCCATAAGACACCTCAAAGCTGACGAGATAAAGTGACTTTAGTGAGTTGTACCAAGTCTTCTTATAGTCTATGCAACATGCTACTGGTAGTCATGTCTAGCCACAACCTTGTTTCATGTACTGTCAATCAATTCTGACCCAGGGATCTTCCATGCCATGATGTCAGATCTTTCCTCTCATTCTCCCTCCATTTTTCCTGCTATCACAATGTACTCCAGTTTTCTCTTCTCAAAACATGAAGAAAGAATGTAGATTGTCTCCTGCTGTGTGCAATCAATATTCTTTTTGAGTTAAGTTATATTTCAAGGCATCTTCATTACTCTTTTTATCTGTCCAAGGTGTTGTAGTATGCAGGGTATGATTACTTGCAATCATACATAAAGAGTTCCCTCCGAAGAAGACAGTCACTGGTTTCCTACAAGAGACCAAAGAGGACTATAAAAACTGGAACACAACAAGCCCGGTACAGATGACAGGTTGCATCCAAAAACCCTGTAATATCACTCTAGGTACGATCTGATAGTGCAGTCTATCTCCTTTACTTCAGACGAACATTCAACAATGATTTACTAGCGATCAGTGAATGAATACTTTACGTCTGCTAATTACTGCCATGTACACACCTTGATAGTCTCCAAAGGTGGCACCTAGCTTTGACGTGAGTCCATAACAAAGATGTATCTGGCTATGTGCCTATTCTTGAGGTCACATTTAGCCTATAATCCCAATGTCACTTTATAAGCCTGGGTGACCTGCAGAGAAGAAGGTCAAGGTGCTGCTGCTAAAACAGACACCCTGAAGGTTAAACAGCCTGCTAGTACTGACCAACAGTCTGTGAAACATGCACCAAGTAACATTGTGGTCACATCAAGTATCTGGATCTCACTGTCCTGTCTCTCATATATGTCCTCACTGGCAGCATTTAAAATTCAAATACACCCAATTTAACTAGACAGTCCATGCACTCCAACATAATAAAACACCATGTAAATAACAACTGTCATAGGGCACATTCATGTGTCCATCCTATCTCACTGACAAAGAGTTACTGAATCAGAATGCCACAGAGTTTTCATACTGATAGAAATCACTTTATTTCCATACTTTACTAACCAGTGGCTTTTGTGAACTGAAGAGCACTTAATGCTTATAAATTACAACAGAAGAGCAAAAATACCATTAGAGATACTTGAGTATTTCTTAGAAATGTGTAGAACACATTTGTTCCTAAAGTATCTGACATAAAATTACTAGTATTGTTATTATAGTGATCAGTGATAACAAGATGTGTCAAGGAAAATCACAAATAGTTCAGAGTTCCTTACTGTTCCAGAAAAAAAAAATTAAAGAAATTATTCAATAAATGGGAGACAGAAACAGCTGAGCTGGTTACTAAAAAACAAGCACCAGCACTAAGACAGTAACAATACAAATCTATAATACTCACAAGATATAGCAGCACACTGCAGTGAGGATCAAGCAAATCTGCACAATCCTGAAAAAAAAATTAACATGGGCAATGCAAATGTAGCCAGCTGAGATGGTGTGTTTGGTAAGTCTGCTGGTGTGCAAATATAAGCAATTACTATTGGTAGCAGCACTAATTTTTGTTGGATTCTTTTGCATGCCCATATTAATCGAAATGAACTTGATGATTCTGATGATGATCATTCTTCTGCCCAGTTCATATGACTTTAATACCTGTAACCATTACCACACTGATTATCGATAATGCGGGTGTGGCTTTATTCTTCTAAAGGGCAGTTGGCAAATTATGATATGGTTTACAGCTAGGATGTGATATCTTGCCTTTCAACCCAACCCATCCAATTGTTAGCAAACCTTCAATATGTTGCCTTTTCCCTCACAACAGAGATCTGGAACCCACTTGTGAGGCATGGCTTTTAAACTTTTTTAAATAATAAATTCAGTGCCAGAAGTGGAGAAAAGCAATACAATAAAGCAAAGCTCTTCAAACCTTCTATCCTGGGGATACACTTTTTTATAAATAATTTCACAAAATCTAGTAATTCAATCTACTAACAAACCAGAGTGTAAACTAACCCCTTATAAAATAGATTCAGACATGTATATAATAATATACATTTCAGAAAAGAAAAAATTATTGAATATGTAAGAGACTTCAACATACTATTTAGCAATTAAAGCCAGCAGACAATATAAAAACACTTCAACTTCAAAAATGTGAATATGACATGAAACTGACTTGAAAATAAAACTTTCAAAAAATACATGAAATTTTCTCATAATAATTAATATGGCTCTCCTCCTAACTTCTACCCCGGCATTATGGTGGCCAAACAAATATTCTTACGGAGCTCAGTCCTATAAAAAAACCATTGACAATTTTGAGACACGCAACATTACTGACGATAACAGCCACATGCGCCGATGCAGATTAGCGTCCGTTGTTGTCCTCTAACTTTTCGGCATGCGCAAAACGCGGTTACACTCACCGCCGACAGTATCCCCCATGCCACATGAGCAAACTATTTGGAGGAGGTTACAGGAGATGCTGTAGCTGCTGCTCGTGAGTCCCAGCCATCTAGTTTAGCCCCCATCCATGCGGCGCGGGGGATACGGTCGGCGGGGAGGCATAGTCACAGAAACAGGTCTGCAATTAACATATAGCTGAGACCCTGTTTAGAGCATTTGTTTCGTTAAATGGAGCCGATCCTAGTTTTGCCGCGATTCATTCGTCGCCAGAAGTTCGCATATTTTTAATAGGACTGAGCCCCGTAAGGATATTTTTTGCCGCCATAATGCGGGAGTAGAAGTTCGGAGGAGAGCCTTTGGTTCTCCTTGCAATAACAGACGCTACTTGGACGGCGACGGCCGCTTAGTCAGAGTTCAGTCCCCTGACCGCATTGCAATTACGGAGTGGACAAGAGGGAACGAAACAAATGACGTAATTACTGTGTGTTGGCGATAGATGCACTGCTGTCATAATAGGGTTAGGGGTAGGGTAAGAAGTGGCCGTTGTTTTCAGGAGTACCAATACCCTAGCCCTAACCCTACCCCTAATTATGTCAAACCCTACCCCAAGCCCTAATAATGTCATTTGTTTCGTTCCCTCGTTCCCTCTTTTTCCCTCCATAATTGCACTGCAGCCAGGGGACTGAACTCCGACGAAGCGGCCGTCGCCGTCCAACTAGCGACCGTTATTGCAAGGAGAGCCCGAGCCAGCTCTACTTGGAATTACAGTTCTAAATGAACTACGCAGAAAATTAACCCAAACAGAGCCTCACAACACAGACAGTTAACCCAAACAGAGCCTCACTCATATGTAAAGTAAAAGTCTCATTTCTTTTGCGGCGATTCAACCGTGTCAAAGGCAGGATTAACTGTGGACGACAGTTTCGCGGAAAGCAACAGATTTTTTATGGCGATTAGATGGCGGCAAAACAAGGATTAACTGGGGACGAAAAAAATTACTGACGCGCGAGAATACTCCCGATACGGCAGGGCCCGAGTTATAAGTAAGTGGTGGACTGCTTTTCACCGACTATAGTGCCACCTCCGAGAGTATCCCCCGCACCGCACATAGCGGCGCGGAAGGGGCTAAACTAGATGGCTAGGACTCACGAGCAGCTGCTGGTTTGACGTTGTCCAAGGCGACATACGCGTACATTAAACCGCGCATTAGAGCTGATCACATCTCGCTTGGAACGAGAATCGCGGACAGGCTGTGCTGAGATGCGATAGCGGACCGCGAGAAACAACAGATATTCGCGCACTATTTGCAACTAGTGTGCAACAATTTCCACATATCAAGGATTGGCTCTCCTAGCAGATTTAGCTGGTAAGCTGCACTGCTTCAGCTGGCTTAGTGGGGCTTAGTGGGAGTTACGTCCCTTCGCCAAACTCAAAACGAGTCGCGGAAAAGGTCACGAATCAAATGACATACTTACCTATCATCATCCGGGTGCGTGTAGGGTTGCGTAGGGTGTCTATCATCGTCCTACGGTTGCGTGTAGGGCTGCTTATTGCGTGTAGGTTGTTTCCGTAAAATGAGGGGTGGGGTTAGGGGTTAGGGCTAGGGGTTAGGGTATAAGGTTAGGGTTTAGGTTTAGGGTTATGGTTCGATGTGAAAATTTTCACGTAGGAGGTCGAAATAGTGGCCGACAATCTGATGCTTGTGGGAGTGGCGCCACTGAAACTCTGCCAAATATGACGCCGATAGCGGGCGGCTGGTGCCCAATCGGTGGCGACTTGTCCGTGTCAGTAGCATCCACCGTCCGTCGGCTGTTTGCGCGTGCATGCGACTGTGTGCGATTATAGGGAACTACGGCGTCACAATTGTCACATCTAACGCTACACCTAACCCTACCCCTAAACCCTAACGCTACCCCTCATCTTACGCAAACAACCAACCTACACGCAATAAGCAGCCCTACACGCAACTGTAGGACGATGATAGACACCCTACGCAACCCTACACGCACCCTGATGATGATAGGTAGGTATGCCATTTGATTCGTGACTTTTTCCGCTCGATGTTTTGAGTGCGGCCACGGGGACATAACTCCCACTAAGTCCCGTTAAGCCGGCGGAAGCAGTCGAAGCAGTGCAGCTTACCGGCCAAATCTGCTAGGAGAGCCCAAGGATTTACTTTTCAGTAAGTAGTAGACTTTGCCCTTTTCTTGATACTTTCCATTCCTTATATTTCCAGAGTTACAGCTTTTAAATGATTGTAGGGCATGACGTAATTAGGCTCTGTTTGGGATTAACTTTCTGCGTAGTTTATTTAGAACCGTTATTCCAAGTAGAGCCCGAGCCTTTAATATCCAAAGGGTGCACCATTTTTTTAACACCAGTGTGTAAATAATGATTTCAGTTCTGCAACTAGATATATATCCATGACATTCTTTTTAATGACACTATTGGTTTCATAATACTATTGTTTGCTTATACTTATAGCCATTTCAAATTTTTTTTTTTCAAAGAAAGAGAAGGGGCACTAAATAGCGACTTGGTGTTCGGAAATTTGCGATCTTTTGGCAATTTCCGTTACCATGGAAACCGTTCAAAACTTGTTTGGGAAATGTTGGCTGGGGTTTTGGGATGGGTCCTAATCTCTCATGAAATTTTGCGATTTGTGTGATTTTCACCAGCTATAAATAGCTGAAAAACGCGCGGGAACGAACCTGATTAACAGCGCATGTCTACGACGGCTTTAGGCTTTAACTGTTACTAGACATGGTAATGCTAGTTATAATTGAATTCTCCGTCCAATTTTACATTTGTGTATAAAATTTCTTTCTTATCAGTGGCTAGTTAGATTTACAGTGACATTTTTCAGGCAATCGCTATTATGTGGCTGTGTCTGAGAAAAATTGTCTGCCATCTTGTCCAATGAAAACAAAGCCAAAACGACGAAAGTGCGCAGTTTGGTTGTGCAGAGAAAACTTCTTGTTTCTCGGACACAAGTTTTCAACAGCTGTTTTTTACATCTCATCTCCACAAAAACCTACATATCTCAGCTTAGAAATGACATACAAGCCTAAATGAGGTACCGTTGGAAAGAGATTGTTTACAGCTATCTAACTGTGTTGGTTTTATTTGTGTAGATTGTAGAGGACATTTTAAAAATTTGACTAAAGTATCTACACTCTACACTGAAAAAAGACAGTGAGACGTGAGACAGAACCTTCAAAAAATGTCTAAATTTGTAAATAAAATACACTGAGTATTGATCACATTAAATCACCAGCTTCACATACTTAGGGAGCAAGATAACCTCTGCGGGAGATACAACATCAGAAATAACGACTCGAATCGCGTTAGCATCAAGTGCCTTTAACAAACTGTCAAACATTTGGAAGTCAAGATCACTCAGCAACAACACGAAACTTAAGGTCTTCAATTCCTGTGTGATCCCAGTGCTAACTTATGGTTGTGAGAGTTGGAAATCATCAGTATCAATCGATAAGAAACTAGTCGCTTTCGAGAATAGATGCCTCCGAAAGCTATTGAATGTTCACTGGTCGGACTTTAGTTCCAATACATCTATAAGACAGGAAACAAAACAAAAATATGTGTCTGATTTTATTAGAAAGCGTCGCTGGAATTACATCGGTCACGTACTCAGAATGGACATACAGAGACTTCCCCACCAAGCCTTCATATGGTCACCAGAGGGTAAAAGAAAACAGGGAAGACCAAAAGAAACTCTCCGTAGAACCATCACAAGGGAGAGCTCAACCATAGATCTCAGTCGCACTCAAGACTTACATCAAGTGGCAAAGAACCGACAGACGTGGAAAGCTATGACCTCTGCCCTATGCGCCATCTTTGGCACAAGAGGAATAACTAACTAATTGATCACATTACTACATACCCTCTGTTTGGTGACTTTGCCATTACAAAATGAATGATGATGGGTAATACAATACCGACAAAGGCCCAAACGGCACTCAAAATTCCGAAAGATAACCCTGTTTCAGCCATTTTGAACTTAGTGATACAATTTTATCGTCATGTGACAGCGGAAGTTCAGTTGCAGACAGCACTTCCGTCCGAGCAGATTACATCCTGTCACGGGGTTTACTAACAGCTGCCAGGCTAGCCATTTTTGGCCGCAAATTTGGCCTATTTTTACCAGGAGATACTCAAAATTTATTTTCATCAAAACCATCTCAAAGGCGAGAGAGTGCTCACCCTATATTCTGTCTTCACGCCGTAAATAAATCACATTTAAACTGCACAAACTAAACACCGTTTAAACAATTTTTAATCATTTGTGTTTTGTCTGCCGTTTATAAAACTTTTCCCCCGTGTGAGTGCCAGAACCTCATTATGTAGAAAACAAAATAGTTAACCATGGGCGCCCGCATGGAGTGGCAAAAGGGGGGGGGCACTTGCGGCCCCCCCCCCCTGGATTGATTGAAAAAAGTCAATCTTTCCCTGCTGTCTGAAGCAAGTGCCGCGTCCCGTAAACTCCGCGCGTCGTATTGTATTTACCTTAGCAAATACTCCTGTAACCTTTATATAAATAAACTTGTGAATCGAACCATGAATATTACTAAACCTTGCCATACATTAACTATATTACATGCTCTCCCTAATGTCAACCGCAAAAGCGAAAACTGGCCGACGGGCGTGGGATCTGATATCAAAATACTAGTCGATTCCATCTTCCACGCACGTCGCCGCCAAAAAAGTATTAGAAAAATATAAATCATCTATTTTAATTTCATATGATTTTGAAGGCGACATGTCGGGAAGTGGAAAACGTTGTTTCAGGGAATCTTGGCTGACCCAGTATAATCCACGGTTATCATATTCACCTAGGTTAAAATGTGCTTTTTGCATTTTCTATGTTTTAGTTCAAGTTGATCTTCCAGAAGTCCAACTGCAAGTTCAAAACCTGCTCAGTGTAGTAAAACTTCACCGAGGTGATTCCGATAACTATTTCAGTGATATTTATGAGAAAACAGTACAAGTCGCACAGAAAGTGGATATTGAACTGATTATTCCAAGACAGCGTAGAAGACAAAAGCATCGAAGTAATCAGGGAACCATAAGTGTTGAAGAGTACTTCAGACAAACAGTTTACATTCCATACTTAGATTCTCTAATTAACTCAATGGAGAGTCGACTTTGTGAAGCCAACAGTGCACAGTTTAACATCCTTCGAAATTGTGCAAACTGAATCGTCAACAGTTTAAGGATATAATGTCTATTAATCAGGTATATCACATTGATAATTTTGAAACTGAAGCCTTGAGTTGGTTTGATTTTAGGAAAACGCGAGAATACAAAAGTAGCCAAGATTTAATCGACTTGTTACCTTTTACAAAGTTTTATTCGAGTGTCAGGTATGCCTGCCTTACTAGTTTTGCTAACATTACCAGCAACCAATAGGTACGGTGGAGCGATCGTTCAGCACATTACGTCGTGTAAAAACATGGCTTAGATCTACCATGTCAGATGAACGTCTGTCTGGATTGTGCATGTTAAGCGTACACAGAGACAAAGTGAACTGCAACAGAAAAGACTTTATGGACAAAATTGTAGATATGTTTGATAGTGATAACAGACGACTTCAGTTCTTGTTTAAAGAATAAATTTTATTTTAAATTTATGTTGTAATATTTTTTGTTATATACATATATTGTGTTAATAAAAAATTTGCTGCTACATTATGCCCTTCATCACTACAGTGTCCTGTCCGTTCGTTCACCATACAAATACGCTACAGTAAATTAAAACTACATTAAAACATTACTAAAAATAATTTGGCCCCTCTAGAAAATTTTCTGCGGGCGCCCATGTAGTTAACGCACACAGCACTCAGGTCCTTGAATAAGACTAAAGTACAGACGTGGACAACAAACCAGAACTTTTCGCCGGAGTTACAGCGGTGAACGCGAAGAAGAAGAAGAATACAAATGCTATCTTATTTATGGCATCTCGTTACCCTGTGTGGACTTCAGGTTACTTTGTAACCATCAGGGGTCCCAGTATAACATTACTGTCAACGGGATTTCTGTAATTTGTGCCTGGTGATTCACATCCGAATAGTGACACTTTGTGTCACAAGATGTTAATCGCTCACTGTGTTGTCCTAGGGATGTTCAACTTTACTCAGGGTGCAGCACGTTATAATAACTCTTTATTACAGAGCTCATCAACGAATGTTATATCTTCCCCTGACACTTTGATGAGGTACAAGGTGGAAGAAGAAAAGAAGAATTAAAAATAATTCTATGTATGGATTCATATTTGCATTCCGGAAGTAAATTTCAAAACTGCCACGAAAGTAGAAGATATGACGAGCTTTCGTGTAGGTACCTGCAGTAGCCGAATTTATTTGAATGAAAATAATGGGAAGACTACTGTCTGTGATTTGAGTTATGAGTTCGATTATCTTCACAGCACTCCGGACACATCCATGGGTGCTCAGATTCCCCTCTCAACATATTTATCAGCGTCGCGCGGTTCATAGTGCCAGTCCTATGCTGGTTGACAAGATCTTGTGTGCGTTTCGGTGTGCTTCTCATGCTTGGCTGTGCCGATCTTTACTTCCAATACTCATTTCTTAATGACATCTTGAGCCGGAGGTTTTGGGGCCGCACAACTAGTGCTGTCACCACGGAGTGTGCAGGTTAGAATGCTTAATTTTGTTTTCGAAAGAAAAACTTCATCCCCTTATCGGAAGTCGAACCCCGGTCTGCCGTATAAGAGCCCGACGTTGTAATCACTCGGCCAGCGGCTAAACAAAGTTTCTAGTAATGGCACCTGATCAAGCCAGGGATTATGTGCAATTTAGCGCCTAAGCAATAAGCAAATATTCATGGCAGGAGTGAATGTCTGAAACCCTCCTCTGTCATACAGGACCATGATTTGCGCTTTTTGCCTGTTGCTCTTTTCTGTAAAGAGCACGCAGTGAAAAGAGTGACATCAATGTGATTCATGGGACTCCCATCCCCAGGGTGTCAAATTATTGCACGGCACCCACGAACGTTAAGCGCTTATTCCCCCCCCCCCCCCCCCCCCCCCCCCCGATGCAAAGATCTGTTACAACAGAGGCTTGGATCTGAAACAAATATAGGCGCCAGAACCCGAGTATACAGGTACCTTGAGGACATCCCCCTGCCCCAACCTTTCTCCCACAGTTTGTTAAAGAGAGTGCAAGCCAACAATAATCTGCAGGTTGCCCCCCCCCCCCCCCCCGACTTTTTCAAGTTTCTGTACTTTCACACACCCTAAGCATACATACACACACACACAGAGAGAGAGAGAGAGAGAGAGAGAGAGAGAGAGAGAGAGAGAGAGAGCGAATGGGAGAGAGAGAGAGAGAGAGAGAGAGAGAGAGAGAGAGAGAGAGAGAGAGAGAGAGAGAGATCACCCTTTGCAAGTTTAATGGTCAGTAGCTGATAAAAGGGAAGTCATGCATGGCTCAGGCAAAAGACGCAGACAGGTATGCATCCTGGGAAAATATAGGCAAGTAGAGGAGTAGGTCAGAGTACGAGCGGAACAGTCAGATTTGTGTAGAGCAGTGGTTATCAAAATGTTTTCGTCGCAGCACCCTTGTCGTGCAAATTAATTTTTATTGCGACACACCTACCCTTAAAGCCGTATGAATACTTAAGGGGGAAAAAAAGTGCATTTTTAATGTTTAGTTGTCTTCAATGCTTGGGAATAAGTTAAAACAGATGGCTTTGTCAAGGAAGATTGACACATAATAGTGGGAGACAACACTCTGCTCAGGAGGAAATGCTGGTAAACATACACATTGACTAGCACTAATGCCAACTAAAGAAGTAATCAAATCTTTGACTGGATGAATGGCGATAAATGAAATGCTAATAACTGTAAGGAGTCCAGACTCATGAAACTTACAGTCATACAATGCTATGCACCAACATATGATGGAAGTGATGAGAAGAAAGATGAGTTGTATACCCAGTTAGATGACTGGGCTCATGGACCTCAGAACAATGCAGTTTGGCCCTAGTACTGCCACAGGAATCCGCCACCTGTGCTCTTTAACGTGTATACGAGCAAGATTGCAAGCCTAGAAGCACCCTGAGTTGGAATGATACTGACTTTTGCAGATGATATACTTGCATATAGGCAGGGGGAAGAGAGGGAAAAAAACAGCCTGGGAGCTACAAGCAACAGTAGACAAAGTGACTGAGTGGTGTACAGAAATTAGGGCTGTCGTCCACCTGGAAAAGGCGTCTGTTTTGTGGTGTTCTCTGGACGAAAGGATCGTTAAAGCTAATGTCCCAAGTCTCACGATAGATGGTAGAAACGTCAACAGGGAGAGCAAACTAAAGTATCTGGAAATTGCATTTGACAGGAGCCTGTCCTTTAAGGACCATGTGGAGAGTGTTGTGACACACTTGCCAAAAAGGACTTAGTGCACTTAAGACTATGGCTGCAATTGACAGAGCAGAGAATGCTTTTCACACTTCTTCTTTCGTTCGCCTGAAATAAGTTGTCTATATCAGCAGTTTTGTCTCTTGTATAAATTTCACTGTCGTTGTTAGTTCATTCAGTGGTCCATAGAGTTTACGTTCCACTGTTGTTCTTTCTGGCCAAAAGGTTTGCCTTAATGTGTCAAAATCGGTGCAGTCCTGGAGTACATGCTCTGCTGTCTGGGGCACATTTCCACAGGTGCACATGGCTGATACACCCATCTTGAATTTTGTGTACATGTGGTTACGTAATCGGTTGTGCCCTGTTCTGAGGCAGAGGATAATGACTTGTTCTGGTCTGTCCATAATAAAATAGTCGTCTTATGCTGGGGCTGGTGGTTTCCTGATCGATTTAATGATTCTTTTCTTTTGGTGGTATGTAACTGGTTCATCTGGCTGCTCTTCTGTCGCACCTTCCCCTGCCAGTTAATCAGCTTTCTCATTTCCAGGCACTCCACAATGAGACGGTATCCACTGCATTACGACTCTTCCCTGAAGGCTGAGTTGTGTCAGCAGTGTTTG